AGGAATCGTGGAAATGGGTGGGTGGTGGTTCGGGTGAGAAAGATGAGACGGACGAAATGAAGACAGAAGAGAATGAAAGATTATCTGTGGAATATTACTGCCCCAGCATTTGCCTAAGTGATCCAAGGAAACCACAGAAAAACTTGGACCAAGGCAAACGGACCCGGAATCGAACCGGCGTCCTCCCGAATGCTAAGCAATGGTCTAGACCTCTAGGCCATGTAGCTCGGTACCACTCCACTCGATCACAAGACAACTATTTATCCGTCCGCGTTCCAGAATGTTCCAATTTATGCCGTCTAGAAACCTGATCTTCTTTGCCACTATGTAATAACACTGTGGGTTCTATTCTACTGTGTTTCTAGCAGTGGCTTTCTTGACATCAATTACGCATTCCATGATAAGCGACATGATACCTTCTTTTGTAATATATGACTATCGTCAATTTCTACTTGTCACATACGTACATGACCTTTGGAGGCTTGTTTCACTGCTTCGAACTCCAGGGCGTGTGATAGTGTTTCACTTGGAGTCTTATGGCGGGCTAATCTGAGGACTTGCTGTAGTTCGCCGTCCCTGACTCCGTCGATAAGTAATTGTACTGTCAGTTGGTCTATGAACTCTTGAGGGCCACAGGGCTAGACTAATCTTACGAGGTGTTCCACACCGGACTCAAATTGTTGAAGAGTCTCGTTGCTTCGTTGGTTACGGCTTTCCAGTTGCGTCTGATGTATCTGTGCAAATGTTTATCGCCGTATCTCATTTCTAAGTGGTTGACAAGATAATGGAAGTCATATTGTAGAGACTTGAACATTCCTTGGAGTACCTATATCTAGCACCTCTCCTCCTAAAGAAATTATTAGCGCTGTTGCTTTCTCTGAATCAGTCTAGAAATCTGCCTCTTCCGTTGCTCCAAACTGCTTCATGTAAACAGACCACGAAATCTTTCCATCAAAAGTTGGAAGTGTAATTTTTGATGGCCTCGCATTGGAATCTTCAGATCTTGCGGTAGTCTTATTTCTTCTTTTCCAACTCATCTCTAATATCATTTACTTTCAAATCGAACCGCCCGCACCCTCTAGTAATTTGTCTCTATTGTTGTTGCCACTAGTAACAGTTGTTGTGTACCTTGTATTACTAATTCCAGTCAAATCGTTCTTTTGCGCTGTGTTCAATAAATCTTGCTAAATTGTGTGCCCGAGTTTCTTGAACTACTATCCTAGCCTTTTTAACAGATCAAACTTATATAAGGCAAGTCGAAAGGAATTTAAATCTTTGGAGTAAACATTAAATTGTTTGAATTCCTTGCTACTGCAGGAACAAAATATTCCAAAATCATTTTTTTAACGACTCAATCTTGGATTCCAAATCGGTGGCGGTCAAGTGCGTCTCCTGAGGAAGTCTTTTCCTTTTCTCTTCTAACTCGTGGGCTTCAGATTTCGGACTCCCGCTTCCATTTGTCCGTAAGAGAAACTACTTAAGCCTTTTCCTCCGCGGTATGCTTTTCTCTGGATTCTTTTCACTTGGCATGAGCGTTTTCATGTTCATCCACATTGAGAACGCCACCAGTGGTTGCAAAAGCATCATAAACAGCCCAGATTCCTAGAATGGACTCCTTCACAACAATGCAATCGGCGTTTAAAGAGAAACTACGCTTCATTGACGTATTACCAGTGGTGTTGTCGAGCCGGAACGCTCCGGAACGTCGTTCTGGAACTAAAGATGATATCTGATAACGAGAATTGGCTGACGTATTGAAAAAAAAATTAAAAAGAATTGCTGATTTTTTTATCTAATTTTTGACGAATTGTTATATGTATTATTATAAACAAGGGTTTGAACCGAACCCGAACCGGAACAAAAACCGGAACGAACCGACTTGTTTTTCCGAACCATGAACCGGAGTCCGGAACGTTTTTTTTCTGCTGAACCGGAACTCGAACCGAACCGAAACAAATACGTGAACCGGTTTTTGAACCGGTTCAACGGGAATTAAACTTTATTTATAATAAACATTAGAAGAAAAAAATATAAAATTTTAAAAAAGTAAAGATTTCATACATAAATTTTAATACAAGCGGCCCACGGACCGTACGTTACTCATCCCTGGCATAGTTTATTGCCATACCCAAATGGGCCTGCGGCTAATGCTAAGAAT